CTGGAAGGTGTACCACGCCGGCAGCACCACCTCGTCTCCCTCCACCGCGAGGACCCTGTCGAGGCCCGAGGGCACGTGCAGCTGGAACTGGGCGCAGGAGGCGGGTGCTGGGGAGGAGAGCGAGGACGCGTGAGCTCAGACCTGCCCATCCTGGCAGGGGCGGGGGTGGGGGGCGCAGGACGCCCGGCCCATAGGAAGGACCTCAAGAGTCCTGTCCAGGGGCTCGGGGACTACCTACTACCCGGAGGCCGCAACCTGGGGCCTGCTTTCAGCGTCATCAGCGCCCCGAGCGCTAATTCTCTGAAACCTCCGCCTTTGGGTGTGTGGCGCGGAGGGGGACACAGTTATGTGCCATTTATTTGTATCCAGAGGCTCGGATTTCCAGCGAGGAGGGGAAGACGCCCGAGAGGAAGGGCAGGTTTAATGGTTTTGATGTATATTCTGCGTAGCCCACTTGCTCCCGCAGTTTCCCGAGCGGGAGGGAGGGAGGGAGTGACCGGGCTGGTCTGGATCGGAGCGTTCCTGCCCCGAGGGGTGGAGGGGCTGGGAGGCCGCTGGTAACCGCAGCTCCGGATGGACAGCCTCGGGCAGAGATCGGAGCCGCCGGGTGGCTGCTGGCTCCCTCCCCACTCCCTCCCCTGCCCTCTCAGCCCCGACAGGTGCGCTCCCTGGGAGAGAGGAGAGCTGGGACCCAGCAGGCTCCCGCGGGCCCTTTTGGGGTTCAGGCGACCAGGGCGGGTCCTCTGGGGCCACAGGGAACGTCGGCAGAGGTGGGGCACGAATGAAGGTCCCCAACAACCAAGTACGAAGTTGTGGCTGCGTGTGTCTGTGTCCAGGAGGTGGACTGTGGTGTGGGTTTCAGGGAGGGGACTAAGCGAATCAATGTGGAACCTAGAAACACTCGCTTTTTGCCCTTTGGAGAGGTGGCGGGCAGAGTCCTAAGCCGTTTGGGGGAATACCCTCTGGCTCCCATCCCGCAGGCCTGAGGATCCTGGCGGCCGGAGGCCTGGCCACTGGGCACCGCCACCTCTGCGTGGTGACCAGGCAGCCC